TCAAGGGCTAACAAATGCCTTTCTACTTCTCTTAAAAAAATAATAATAAATAAATAAATGATTTTTAAAAGTTAGATGGCAAGTCTGTGTGAGATTTCCCGTATCTATACAAAAATTATCAGAGCTAGTCAGCAAATAACTGGACTAGTAAACAGATCCTTTCCAAAATCAGCCAGAACAGGATAGGGCATGGGAGGAAAAAGCAGAATTTTTTTTTGTTTCTTTCTCTCACTAATATAATCTTATCCTCTTTTCCCCTTGCCAACAGATTTATTTATTTTTAATGAAAATCAGCAAGGAAACAAAGCAACCTCAAAGTATACATGTTCCACCTAGGTCTTGCACAACAGAGCCAGCTATCTGAAACTGTAAGTCTAAATGAGAGTTCTTATCTACAAACATTGAAGACCTCATTTGAGCTACAAATGTCAATCACAAAACTCATACAGCAATCGCTTGGACTTCAACTGCAAACATTTTCATTTCACCCCAATGCCAGGCAGCACTAACAGGGTTGCATGCATGGTAATATTCATGCGAAACAGTGCCTCTAAACAAAAAAATTCTTGAAGTCTTCAGCCTTGAATGTTTTTGGATTTATGGATTTCCAGAGAAATGTGTCAATCACAGAAGTTCATTCACACAGTTCTCTCCTGAAAACAACAAAACAAAAGTTTTCATTTAAGTCCTCTATTCCCTTTGCCCAAAATCTAAGAAGGGTAGGGAGAACCCATACTGAAATAAAAGAAAACCTAACAAAATAAACAAAACCAAACTCATTCTTCAAAGGGTAAAATTATCTGCCTTCATGCTCATCCACCGCAAGAGCCAGAGCCCAGCTGCACAACCTTAACAAGCCTGCTCCAAGAAAGCACAAGATTTATTCACAAACCTGTCCAGGAAGTACTCAAGTGACAAAAGCTAACAGAGACATTTGAGAGCCAAGACAGCTTGTGCTTTAAATCTCCAGACTAAAAATATGTGACCAATATTAATGTGTCTATATATGCAGATATATATAGATAGGTAGAAGTTCTTTATTTTCAGAATACAAACTGAACAAACCAACTAATAAAACCAACTATCGCTCCTTGCTAATTTTTATGCTTGTGATTACTTTCATTCTCCCTTCTATACTGCTGCTAGTCACGTGTTTTACATTAAATCAAGTTAAGTTTTAGTTTATTTCTATGCATTTTTCTGCAATCATGTTCATATTTCCTAGACTGTTAAAAGAGACTAAGAAAGAAAAAGTTAAGGTATCACAAGGAACTTTGGGGGTAGTGGGGATCTTCCTTTCAATCCTCTTCATCAGCAGCAGCTTAATCAGTTTAAGGAAAAAAGAAGAACAGTGTGAAGGGAAGAATTATATTTTCTCAGACACAAGTGCCTAGACAAGAAAGAATTAGAAAAAACAGCCTTTGAGAAAAACAGAAGACAAAGTGCCAAGTCAGAGTTTATACCTTTTATAATTAAAATAATTTTGGTAGGTTTATAAATTAAAAAATGCTAAAAACATATTATAAATCTGTCATTTCTCTCTTAAAAAAAAAACCTACAGAATTTTAAAGTAATAAATTGTTTGATCTAGGTTTACCATCATTCAAGTGGCACACCACAGCACAGGAAACTAGTCCAAACAAGTATTTTAGTCTAATAATTTAAAATTCTGAAGCTTTGATTAAATTTGGACTCAACTGAGATGTCTAAGACAGCTTATTGAAAGCTGAAGGAGGAAGTGTTCTGAATCAAACCCATATATAAATAAATTAATCTTACTGGAACTGTAAAAAACCAAAGAGCTTAGGTTATTAGTCTCCTTGAAACATCATTTCAGACTTGCAAAAGATTCAATGTGTATTATGTAAAGAGTCTTTTTGGCTCAAGTATAACAAAAATATCTTCCAGGTTGAATTAAGGATAACTTAAGGAATTAAGGAATAAAGGAATTAAAAATTAATTTGCACAGATTAAATAATTTATGCAAAAGCATAAAGCTGCATCACATCTGATTCAACCAAAGACTCCAGTAAATACTTACGCTGACTGATTCTAAGAGAATTTAAGCATTTGCTTACAAACTTAATAAAATCAGTCAGTTCTCAAGAGGGAGAATTAACATACAAGAAACAAGTCAAAAAAAACATGGTCAAGAGGTTCCCCCTCTAGCTTTCACTCTTCCCACAAGACAGAAGATAGAAACTGGTTTTCAAGTTCCCAGACTTCAAAGGACAAAGTCTGGCTACAGTCATGAGATGACAACTTTCAATGACTCAGCTCTATACCACACACCTAAGAGACAGAGTAAAAGCAAAAGACAGGAAAAAAAGTGGTATCCCAAGACAAAGAGCTAAGTGAAAGCCTTGTAGTGGGACAATTAAATATTCCTACAGATCATACATTCCTATCATACACAGAGAGATGTGTCCCAAGAATAAGCTACAAAACAGAAAGGACTCAAGTTCCCAGAAAAAAAATCCAGAGTAAAGCCCTGGGGCATTAGACATGCTGCAACTTCAGAAATGTCAGGGAACACTAACTAGGTACATACATCCGAACAAACAGCAATACGGAAACATTTCTAGGTTAAACATGCAAAGACTGAGGCCATACAAGACAGTCAAAAAAATGAACCGGGTTTTGTACAGCAAAAAAAAATTCTTTCAAAATTCATTCTTACGATGTTTTTCATAGTGAAATAAAAAACACTGCCTTTTAGAGAGCATTCTAAAATATAATACATATGGGAATAGAAACTATTTTACTCTAGAGTGATTTTCTGCCCTTGTCACTTAAAAGTAGCACAGATGAGTAAAGCACAAAATATTTTTAAAAGTAAATGGAGAAAGCATTCTTTGTTGGTATAAAATTTGAAAAGTTGGCTTTAGTTCTAAATAAGCCTGCTGCAAAACCAAATACATTACAATAGCTTAATCTATGCAAGGTCAATGACAAGTTTATGAGAACTTCCCATGATCAGAAGAGGCATCACTATGGTTCAGCAACTTAATAACACCCTGGCACTGTTGAAGTAGGGCAGCATTTTTAGGCTCTCTTTTACATCAACATGCAGCTGATGTAGTTTCTAAGGCTAGAGTAACAGGGCTGTCCTAGCTCAGCACTGCCAGTGTACACCACACTGAAGAGTGCCGAAGTCGTGAGCCTTATACAAGTAGGAAGAGAAAACTCACAGAAAGAATTTAAGCTACTTGTTGGCTTACTACTTCTCTGAAAAATCAGAAAATAAGCCTCTTGTAAGAAATAATTGATTATTAAATTCGGTCTTGTTTCCAGAATTTGGTTTTTTATATTCTGCAATACATGCTTTGTACATGCTAAATGAAGTACACTTCATTTCAATTATTCAAAAATTATAAAGCACACCAGTATCTTGATGATAGTTAGGCTATTATATAGTTTTGGCACTCTGTATATTAAGTCTTTTCAACACTCAACATCCTGAGGGCATAAATACTAGTTGAAAGACACTTTCCTGGTTTTAACATACGGCACACGTATGAAATTATTTGTCTCCAAAACAAGTTTAAAGAACTACAACAGTCTCCAGCATCATTTAAGTATCATCATTTCAGGAAACTCTAGTTCTGTGTAGCACCTACCCAAGCAAATCTCCAAGTTACCAATGTTATCAACAAACCAGATTCTTTGTCATGGAACTAGTGAATTCCACATAGCAAGTGCTATTTGGAGAACCAAAGCTACTGTGCAAAGAGGGATCAATTACATCATCTGGTTTAACAAAAAAATACTTCTTTCTACTAAACTGTTTTGCTTCTACTTCTAGACCGCCATTACTACAGCATTATTACGAATCATTATTGAATGTAAATAGGTGATAAAACCCTTTAAAAGGTAATACCTTACTGGCAAATTTAAATACCACTGTATTTTATCATCTTATTTCATTAAAAAAACAGAATTCTGTATTTACTCAGCATACCACATAACATGGTGATTTTCAAATGCACATGTACCATTTTTACTCAAAATGGGAGATGTTCATCCAAATGAAAGTTGTGTTTACTAGAGTTTCCTCTAATGGTCTGAAAAAATCTCCAAGTCCTTCACAAGTAGAGGTCTTCTCTTGAATTTAGTTATATTTCTTGGAAGCATTGAACAAAACAAATCCTTGCAAAAGGCCAAACATCAAGTCAACAACACAGGTAATAGGACTAGATCTGTGGTGTCCAGAAACTCAGTGCTCTCTAACTATAAAAAAACGCTGTCTTTATAGATAGCAAGTACTAATCAAACGTTTAAGTTAAAAGAAGGGAATATTACCCTATTAAAGTGCTTCTGGTAAAATAAAGCCCTTCAAGACTCCTAAATTTAAACTGCAACACTCTGTAAATGCCTCTGATTCACACAAATCTAGCAAGCAAATCTAAGTCACCTGAGACCATGGAAATACTGATTTCAACTTGTGTGAAAGGAACTTGAAGATTTTTAAAAGTAATAAAAATCTAGTAATGAAACTGAACTGCAGGGAATCTACAGCAATTACTGAAAATTAATAATGTGCTTTTTATATCCCAATGCGAAAAGTTTGCCTTTAAATCTCTGTTGCTGTACAAATTTTAATATCTACATATATAGGTGTGTGTATACACACATACTCTGAAACACCTGGGGGGCACTGTAAAATATATATAGGTGTGCATGAATACCTATATACACCTTATTCACTCAAATATTTTTTTTTACTTTCTGGCAGAACTGTGTGATTTGTATTTCACCCAGTTAACTTGCTGTTTTCAACTGAAAACACGTCCTCCTGTGGAAGAATGAGAAATTCAACCACTGGTGCAAATGTTTTGACTACATAGGGACCTTTTTTTTATTAATGGTAAGAACAATATCCCAGATAGGCATCTGATTTAATAATCATCTTATTCTTTATTAGTTGATAGAGATTTTGTAGTCTCAACTGTGAATACATGGGATCAACAGCAGAAAGGGAGGCCAGTAAGTACACTTACCTTTTCTTCACATTTCCTGTGGCAGGCATATTTGCAAACTAAAACAAAAATAAACAGAATATATGAGTAAAAGAGCATGTGGATTGTATCCTCTCCTTTCTTTAAATCAGCTTTATACAAGAGATCAGGCCAAACTCAAATCTGTATATATAAAAGTACTTACATATTTCAAAACAAAACTAAACTAAAAAAAGAAACTCATTTAGTTTTCACCCATTTCTAAAAGACTAGTTAAACTACAGCAGCGTTATCAGATTTGTGCATTCTATCAGCTTATGATAACATATGTCCGGTTAAACGTCATGAGCTGATTGTCTTGACACTTACTTTTACAGCTTCACATGTGCTGGAAGTGTTACCACTTACATAACACCAACAGTAAGATGAAATTGTTCCCAGAGTAACCTGTGAATCTTAGTCATATCAGCAGTTCCAGAGACCTAAGAAAAGCAGGCTGACTTCAACTCACAGGCAACCATGACTGGCCAGAGTATAATTTCATATTGTGATATTCAGGTTATACAGTGTTGCAAACATTACTTCCGAGACATAAGCACTTGAGGTTTTTAAAATTCCTGCTCTGTAAGAGCAGGAAAGGATTAATTGTAGCAGCAAGTTTAGATTCAGAAAACAGCATTTAACTTAAAAAGTAGCCAGATGAGCAGCAATGTAAATATGATGCAGCAGCACAATAGCTAGAATCTGACACAGCCTGGTTTTAATTGGTTTTCCATTTATATGCACTTCCTTCTTTACTCTGAAATTTCCTTTATTTCCATGCAATGTCTATCCTTTGGGCTACCATGAGCTAAACTTACTAAATCTTTAATTCAGGAAAAATTTACTTATTCAGTCTCCAAGATTAGTAAGCTACAGAATACCACAGAGGTTTAACTGGAAAATTAACTGCGGCCTAACCTTAGACCACTGAAGCTGAAAGTCATGCTTGTTTCTTGATGTTTCTACCAAGAGGAAGATATACAGTCTGACCCAACAGGAAAGATACAACTATCAAGGTGTGAGGTCAGCAAAAACTCATTTCAGATTCAAGTGCATTAATTAAAAACCCTTATGCTGCAGTCACTTCTCAGGGCAAAAAAAAGTAAGGATTACTGACCCATCTTCTATTCAGTTTTATACATGCTATGTTCACTTTTTTTCCCCATGTATAAGTTAGGAACAAGTTCTTTGTTCAGAGTGTTTCACAGGATCAATTGTCTTTATTCTAAAAATTTATTAGCTTTGATGCAAATACACTACTCTAACTATTAGCACTGATAATGATCTATAGCAACACACCACTTACAAATACTATCACCTTAAAGCAAATGGAAGACAGCTTTTAATCCATAATAAAAAGCTTTATTTTCTTGTGTGACACAAAGAATAAATAACTAAATTCTTTAAGTGATTTGACAAAACTGTCTACTAGAATCCATATTTTAAATCAGCATGATTAGCTTTAACTTTGCAAAAGGTTAATATGTTCTAAAAATATGCATACTATCTGTTTATACTATAAGCTACTTTGAGACAGACACTTACAAAAAAATAAAGAATAAAACAGTGAATCTGTAAGAAAACCCTAATATTACAGACAAGGTTTTCATGTTCTTTACTGATGCTTAAACCTAGACTTCTGGGGGGTAAGATGAAATACAAAAAATAGATTTCATTCCATGACAAACTTCCATGATATTGCTACTGCTTCATGCAAAACCAAATCACAAATGTCACCAACAAAACACAAAATCTCTATTAAAGATGTCAATAACAGTAAATGCAAGCATTGAGTTTTTTCAGCTTCCACATACAAGTAAAGTCAGTGTTTTCTGCTCTTGTGAAACACAACAGTACTTACTGTCTTTTTTGGAAAGAAATCACTCAAGTCAGATGTGAGCTTACGAACTCCATATATAATTAAAGGGAAAACACAAACAAAACTATATTGCTATATTTATGAGATTCAAACAAAACAAAGACTAAAGCCTCAAGAGGTAATCAGTCAAATACCATCAGGCAAAGCTCTCTGACTGAAACAAACCACGTACTTTTTTTCAAGTGTTCAAATCTATTACATTCTGAGCATAGAGATCTGATTCATTCACAAAGACTGCTTTACTCCTCCTCAGCATACAGAAACATCCTATTCATATCTAAATCCAGCACTTGCATGGATTAGATTAAGTCATTACCTTTTCTTCTTCAATATCCAATAAAACTGGATGGAAATAAGCACTCCAAAAGGAGATCATGGGGGGGAGAAGTATCCACAGCATTTGAAAGAGAAGGAGATATTAAGAAAATAATATGAATTGGGTATGAGGAAGCATACAGGCACACTAAGAAAGAGTGAATGGAATAAGGGCAAGGCTGCAGCAGTCCAGTATCTGACTATAGATGAGTAGTGGAGAGAAGCACCATTGCTTTTCCAGGCACATCCTTTTACAATGCAATTCATATGGGTTTCTCTGCTATAGCTGCTACCATCAAGAACAGTAAGAGATCCCTTCAGCAACACCAGCAAATTCAACACTTACCCACAGAGAGAAATCAATTTACTTGATATTTCATTATTTAGAATTCATTGTGCTAAAGCTACGATGAATTCTACTACATCACAGAACTGTCTTACCTGGATGATTGCAACACTTCAGTCCAATGCTGGTTTTATCTCAGCCCAGGCATTTACAGTACTTGCAAAGAGATAAACTACTTCAATCACTACTAGATTGCCAGAGAGACTGAATCATGGTTCAATATGCCAGCTTTTTTTTAATGAAAAGCCTTAAATATTAGAGATGCACTTTCAGAAAATTTCTAAGGCCAAAAAGGCAGTATTATATCATAATCGTGCAACCCATGTCTTTTCAGTGCAACAAACATGCATTGCGAAAGCATATGAATAACTGAACAACTGATGTGCTGTTAGTATGCTAAGGAAAATACATACAACTTACATTTAAAAGATCTCAACAAGCATCTTCTACTGAAAGCTGGCATTCTTTAGGTAAAGCTCACAAGTGAAATAGCACTCAGCTCTCCTCAGGACTGCAGCCTAAGTGTATTCAAATTCTAAAATGCGCCCAAAACAGTCCAGAGGATCTAATCAATGTTACACTCTACAAAGGCTACTTCAGTTCTTCAGCTGAATGTCTGCATCCCACGCATCAGCTCTTGCAAATACCATACTTTCCAAATTTGTGTTCAAGGATTTTGGCACCAGTTCCAAGAATAACTGTCCCAAGTTGGCTGGTAATAAAACAGAGACCAAGCCATATTTAGCCAATTTACTATACTTCAAAAGAGCTCCTAAACAATAGATCCCAGAATCCATTTTCTTAAAAGGAGGAGAAAGGAGGGGAGGGGAGGGGGTGTGAAGAAAACAAAAAAAGAAAAAAAAGACATTTCTTTACATCAAAATGAAGATGTGTTAACTCCTTGTCCTAGTTAGAACAGCTGTTCATCACTGTGTGGGTGTAACCCAAAACTGTGTATTCTATAGCCTTCCATGCCATTTCCCAGAAACTGTTAACAATAGACCATTTACAGCCGCTGCCCAGAGCGCGCCTGACCCCTCAGGCTATAAGCTGGGTGTTAAGAGGCCTGTGAGATAGGAGGATGCTCCTGTCCTCACACCCATTGTGGAACTCCCCGCCCTGAGGGAGGTACTGGGCATTCCTTCCCGAACCTGAGGATATATAATCTTGGGGATCTTGGGACTTCAGTACCACTCATGGGATCCAGAGAAGGACTGTGACCACCACTCTCGACCAGACTGCAACAGCACTCTCACCAACAGGTTTTCCCCTCTCCTTTTACTTTGGACTCAGGGGGCCCAACGAACACCACTCTGTTCATGCCCCAGGGTGCTGGGTTATACATTTGGGTTTGGTGGGTTAAAACCAACTCTTTGTCTTTATAACTGTATTTATTGTATTATTTTTATTAAATTGTTATTCTGACTTACAATCTCTCTTTTGAGTTGGGTTCATTTCCCCTGCCGGTTTACCTTTAAACCAGTACACTCCTGTAAGTTACCAATATTGCTGCCAGGTTAAAGAGAGAAGGACAAGCGTGGTGAGTTGTTTTCAGACTTAAGTTCCAAAATTTTTGTGAAATCGAAGTTCTGCTTTTTACATTCTTGCATGTAAAATGCTCTTTGAAAACTCATAGCAATGTATTTGTAAAGTAAGAAACTACTTCACTAACCACAGCATGATTTATGATTTAACAGGACAAAGAGCTTTACTTTTGCTCTGTGTGGTAAAGGCTATGCACCTTGACAGATTTTAGCATTTAAGGGTCATATGGTATGGCAATATATTTCATATATCCCATACAAACATTCTGTCACACTGCATGTGCAGTGAGTATTAAAACATGGCTGGTTTATAAGGACAACCTTGCACTTAACCACAGCTGTTATCAAGTGATTCTCCATAGTGGGTTTTTCTGTGTTTGTTTTTAAACAACTGCGTATGGGAAAGGTAGAAACAAGATAATTCAGGAAGCCTCTTGGGGCAGAAACTTGCATATAAATAGAGAATCTAAGAGATGTAATCCAGTTTAATACCTTTCTAATCTCTAAGAAAAATCACTTGCCCCAAAAGCATAGACTCTACAGGCCTTGATAATAATTTTTAACTTCCTGGTGACAAAACAAGTTGCGATACCGAGTCACAGGCTTAGATGTTTAAAAGATGCTTTCTTTCCCTCAGCACCTCCACAATGCAGCTTCCCAAAACAGACAGATGCTATTACACCTATTTTTTGACAGTAGAGTCCTTGAAGATCCACAACAAAATGTAATCTAAACCAAGCATATAAAAAGACTTGTGTAATTAAGACTTAGTTTTTATAGCTCCCCGTTCCAGTCTTCTCTCTTAATACCAGGTAAGATAGGTATCAGAGCATCGCAGTAGTGGTAAAGCCTAGCAATTTTAGTACGTAGGCTAGTGCTACCACTACTGAGCAATACCTCAGGCCTGCAGGAAATGTTTTGCACAAAATACCAGGTCATTGGCTCTGAAGAAAA